GGAAGGAAGGAAGGAAGGAAGGAAGGAAGGAAGGAAGGAAGGAAATGGAGGGAGGAAGGAGAGAGAGAGAGGGAAGGAGGGAGGGAGGAAGGAAGAGGGAAGAAAGAATGAGAGGGAGGGAGGAAGGAAGGAGGGAAGGAAGGAGAGGGAATAAACTTAAGTTTCTGGTAGAGTAATAGTTTTCAAGCATGCCTTTGTGTTAACATCTGAGTGAAAAATATCAATGTTCAAGCCCACCTTCATATATATTTAAAGCCTCCAGAAATTCTTTGGGCAATTGGGATTGAGACTCAATGTAATGCAGAGTCATATTTCATTAAATGACTCAAAAAATAAGCAATTACCTAAGAGTGGCACTCAAAAGGATTTCTCTTATGAAAAACTGCTCTCCCAAAGCCCATCAGTTTCTTAATACTGAGGTCTAAGGTATCAAAAGCCTCCCCAGGAATTCCTCCTATCCTTGGGGTTGGTGCTGATATGTCCCCAAATCCTGAATTCCACTTCTCTGAGAGCTGCACAGTATCCCCATATCATTCTCCCTCCCTATCATCATTCTGAAATTATTGCCAGGTCAATGCTTCAGGCTTGCTTTAGTTAAACCTCTCTTCCCGATAATAAGATAGACTCTGGCTTTTAGCATCCATAGATCATTCCCACATCTCTTATTAGCTAAAGGTTCATTCGTTCACTACATCAAAACTTTATAACTGGTGGCAAGTTGAAAAAGACCTAAGGCAGAGTGATGAATTGGAAAGAGCAGTATATTGAGAATTTCAAGGCCTTGAATCAAATGACAGGTAACCTTTGGAGACTCCATTTCCTTAAATACAAGGTGAAAATTATACCCACTACCACCCTGGATGCCACACTGCTACTACTTTCTTAACAACTTTCTGATAATGATGCTAACAAACAGTAAAGAGTAGGAAAGCAAGTACAAGGGAGAAGCACAATAAGAAGGTTCCAGATAAGTCACAAGTTAACTAATCTGCTCTCAAAGCACTGAACATATCCTTATGGGTTGCGATAGAATCATATGGTAGTGACATTTGGTAGATACTGCTTTCTGCTTTTGGTCTATGTGAAGACTATTCTCACTACCCTAACATTGGAAAAATCATTCTTGCAAAATGAGAAGGTAATGACCTGACTCTCTAGTTTTTAAATTGACCCTGAAAAAATGTGTAATTTTTTTTTTAAAAAGAGCCCTTTAATTTGCCAAGTAAGTTCTAAGATATTCAAATCCCAAATTCAGTTAATTGTTCCTTTCCTGTGACTTACACTCACATCTCTACATCCCGTTCTTTTCCAGCTACCATGGCCATCTCTTCATGCCACTGCTTCCTCAAGATCATCCTACATGTTAACACTGCATATATTTTTGACAAAGCTTTGTGCAACTTCTTGTTTTCTGCAGTCTGAACTGTATGACTTGGCAGTTCCAGATATCTATAGTCTTGCCCATATCCTACCCTTCCCCATCTGATGTCTCCCCACCCATCGTTTGTTCATGCTGTTTCCTCCCCCTGGACTAATCGTGACCACTCCTGAAGGTTCAGCCAGCACATATTTCATCTGTTCTGTGAAGTCCTCCCGCTGACTGGCCTTCCCTTCCTCTCACTGTAATAAGCAGCATGAACATTTACCTGTATTGTCTATTGTGCTACATGGATTTCATGATTCCTGGTTAGACTTCATGCTTCTAGAGAATAGATAACATGTATTAAATACTTCTTCCTCCATCCCCCCTCCCTTTCAATTTCATGTAGTTTATACAGCAGAATTTGGTGAAATCGGTAAACAATAAAACATCACTTAACAAGTAACACAGTAACATCAGACTTAAGTCAGTAAGGTCCCTGGAGCTTCTCTTTGACACAGCCTGATTACTGGAACATGCAAGTTACCACACATAACCTTTAGCTTTTACCTTGGAATTTAACATCCCCAACTGTGCATCCTGGGCCCTTACAATAATAATACTGTTACAAAGACACATATCCAGGTTTTTCAAAACATATTCATTTATTTGAAAGGCCTAATAGCAGAAAAGAGGAATGGTAGGGGAGGAGGGGAGAAGGATAGGGGAGGGAGAAAGGGAGAGAAAAGAGGAGAGAGATCTTCCATCCACTGGTCCCCTCCTCAAATGCCCACAACAACTGAGGGTGGTGCCAGACCAAAGGCAGGAGTCAGGAACTCTAAGTCATCCACATGGGTGTCAGGAAGGCAAGTACTTGAGCCACCACATGATGCCTTCCTTGGTTCATTAGCTAGAAGCTGGATTGGAAGTGGAGAAGTCAGGACTTGAACTCCAGTATGGGATGCTGACATCCCAAGAGGTGGATTAACCTGCTGTGTCACAATGCCTACTCCTACATTTCAAGTTTTATATAAACAACTTCTATTTAAACTTTATATACAGTTTATATGTATTTCCCCCAAGCATGGAATTGATCTAAGAAATACAAACAAATTGAAAGAAAACAGGGAAGTATCCCAGTAATTAAACAACTTCATTCTTTGTGTTAATGATGTGTTTAAGACACGCACCTTTGATTTAGAGAGATGGTGATAATGGAACTGCAACCAAATGGAGAAGGGATCTCATCTTCTGGTTTTCTACCAGAGTCAGCTGAGGCTCAGAGACATGGAGTCTAAATGACCTACCTGCCTTGCAAAACCATGTGCCCTCCTTCCCCTTCTAGCTGCATGTATTCAAAAGAATGTTCCTCAGTTTCTGCCAAACCTTCTCATTAAGTCCATTTTGTTTCCAAAAGGTCACCTGTAAATCAATGCAGTCCTAACCAGGAACCCAAAGATGGGCAAAAGAACCACCAAGAGAGATCCCTTGTGGTTTCTGAAATTATCTTTTATTTCTAGGGCTAAAGAATATTCTAGAAGAGGTATAAATAGCTTAGTAAAGTTGCTAAAGAGGATTTGGGGTGGAGGCATGGATATATGATTTAGTGATTTTGTTTAGGATTCTGCTGCAAGGAAAAGGAATAATCTCATGGCAAGCAAAAGTGGGATAGAGCACTTAAAGGGGTGAGGAAGAGTATGTGGTCCTTGTTCATCTCTCCCCCTCCATACAAGGAATAGAGTGGTATGGAAAAGATCCCCCACCCCCTCCCTGCAGCCTCAGAGACAAGGCACTGTAAAAGTCACACTGGGATCCTACAATAACTTCCCTCCCCATCTGCACAAACTTGGCACACACCATGAAAGCACAAGTATGGGGATACTTCAAATAGTTCATGGAAAATGGAAGGAGAAGATTTTTTTAAAAGATTTATTTATTTATTTGAGAGGCAGAGTTACAGAAAGAAAGGTCTTCCACCCGCTGGTTCACTCTCCAAATGGACGCAACGCGGAGCTCCAACGGCTAAAGCCAGGAGCCAGGAGCTTCTTCTGGGTCTCCCACACGGGTGCAGGCGCTAAGCACTTGGACAATCCTTCACTGCTTTCTCAGGCCATAAGCAGAGCGCTGGATCAAAAATGGAGCAGCCGGGACATGAACTGCTACCCATATGTAAGCTGGCGCTACATGCTGAGGCTTAGCCTACTAAGCCACAGTGCCACTTTGAAAAGATGTTTTTAAGGTGCAAAATTTTGGAAATACATGCAGAGTTTTTCACGACACTTGTTTTCCATGACCCCCACACATGCACAAATTTCAAATTATTTTTCTCTAAAATAAACTTATCTTCCATTTTTCTACGAACTTTTTGAGGCTTTATAGCACTTGCCTTACTTAAAACAACCCTCCTGCTTTTGAGACCTAGACCTAAGCTGCCCTGCTTCAAACGTGGCCCTGGACTACTGAAAGATTTAACAAATCTCCCTCATTTCTGCTTTGGAGGGGACGGAGAGATGGTTCTCGAAGAGAAGGGAACTTTTCAGTCCCAAAATTACAACCAAAATGTTTCGCTGTTGTTGTGTTTCATTTTTTAAAGCCTAGAAATCAATTGCAATTCAACTCCCTTGCCTCAATATATTTCTCTTGTTAAGGAGCTTTGCATCTCAGGTGTAAGAACTAGCCTTGCCTTTCCTAGTCTGTTAAACAGCCGCCTGGCCTCTCATCCCTGGAGAAGTAAATTTACCTCTGTGGACCTTAAATTTCCCATCTGTTAAATACCGGGGTTGATGGATGGTACCTCAAATTCTCATCCACCATCTACGTTGTGGGAGTCTGCAAGTCCCCTTGCCTGTGACTTTTCCACTTGAGGGGACAGCACAAATGCAGTGAAAGGTTAAGGATGCCTCCACCAGAGATTTGTTAACACGGAGGTGGAGGCTCCTGGGCATCGGATTTGCAACCTCGCGGGCCTCCAACCTACCCGCCTCTCCAAGTCCAGCATAGAGGGCGGCTGCACCGGGCTCTCCTCTTTATTCCGCTCCTCTCCCGCGCAGCAGAAGGTCCCCGCAGCACAGCTCTGTTGCTGTCCTGGACACCGAGCTGTTTACGCCACCCCAAACTACAGTAAGCCTGGACCACTACTGCTCGCTCCGTTTCTCACAGCTCTGCCGCTACCCTTCTCTGGAGATCCCGCGAGGTCCTCATTACTTCTCAACCCCCAAAAGTCTTCCCAGCCGCGCCAGCATCCTTGCCCTCGGTTCTTCGGGCCAAGCGCGGTAGAGGAGTCAGGGCGCTCTCCCGGGGCGTCCTCTCTCCAGCCCCACCTCCCCGTCCCTGCCGTTTGGGTTCGCAGACCCCACGCCCCGCCCCGGGACGCTGCCGCCCCCCCCCAGATCCCGGGGTGCTCTTCCAGCGCATCCACCCCGGGAGAATCCTTCTCCCCTCCCCACCCCATCCCATCCCCATCCCCATCCCCACAGCCCGCCCCCCATCCTCCCCAGCCAAAGCCGGAGCCAGTCAGTGGGCTGGGCGCCTGGAACTGCCGCGCCGTGCGGACCGGCCCTCTGCTGGGCGGGGGAGATTCTCGGCCTCGCGGGGCTCCCGGGCGCCAGTGGCCGGACGCGCTTAGCTCTGCCAGGCAGCTGCCCGGATCCCAAGAGCAGCCTCGCGCGGGAACCGGCCCCGAAGCGCTGCGACCCCCGCCAAGCCTGAGTGCCGGCCGAAGCTCCAGGCGCCCAGCGCGCTCCTCGCAGCCCCCTCCGCTGTGGGGCGCGCGGGGGCCCGTAGAGGCACCTCCCGCCGGCCCGCCCACCCGGCCCGCGCGGCGCGGCGCTCGCTCGTTTTCCGGGAGGCGAGTGAGGCGCGGTGTCCCCCCGCGTCGTCAGTCCTGCCCCGCGAAGTGGAGATGCGCGAGAGGCAGGCGAGGGCGCGCAGCTCGTGAGACGCCGCGCCAGCCGGCACCATGCGCCTGCGGCCGCTGCCCCTCGTCGTGGTCCCCGGCTTGCTGCAGCTGGTGAGTGCGCCCGCCTCGCCGCGCGCAGGCCACGCGTTTCGGCGGGAAAACCGCGTCGGGGCCCAGTCGGAAGCGGGACCGGGGGCGCCCAGAGTGGAGGGAGTTGTTGGTTGCCTCCGAGGTGGAAGGGGAAGAACTGCGGACTGGGCTAGAAGGGACATTAGACAGCTGAGGAGCTAAGTGGGCAGTGCGACTCAGGGCTGGGATGAAGTAGGTTGAAAGTGGCCGGAAAGAAGGTGCGGGCGAAGGAAGAGGGTTACGGAGGAGCCATTAGCGAGGGGACGGGAGTAGGCGGAAATGGTGGGAACGGGTTGACAGACGGGAGTTTGAGAAAACCCATGCTGGTGGGGCTTGTTTCTCACGTGGTGTTTTGTCCAAACGCCCGCAGACACTTCTTCCCAGGCAGAGAGCATCCCGCGTCCTCTTCCCCTGAGCCAGAGCGGCTCCTTGCCTGGGGGCGGGGGTTGGGGGAGAACTTGGGCAAAAGACCGACTCGGGGTTTCTCCTGGTTTGCCGAAAGGCTCTGGGCTCTGAGGTGGGGTTTTCTGCCTGCGGGGATGGCAAGAGGTAACTTGCACGCCCAGCCGCACGCACGAGCCGCTCCCAGCCTCCTCTAAGCGGTCTTCTAGGCTCGGAGGCCGCTTCCGCCTGAGGGCTAGGAAGGGATTTAAAAGGTGGATCCGGGTTCGCTTGCGACTCTGGGCGCCAGTGCGCGTGGGGGTGATTCCGCGCTCTCCTGAGAGCCGCCGCGCGCTCCTCCTGCCAGTGCGTACCTGTGTGGACTGTATATACTGCTGGTTCATTTTCTGTAAGAGAGACCCAAAGGAAAGCCTTCGGGAGGAAACTTTGAGTAAAGTAAGGTCAGAGAGGAGGACCGCTTCGACTCATCCGCCGCGGAGATGGGGTTCTCATCCCAGGGCACCTGTGTTGATGAGGCGCTTAATGAGAGAGAGGGCTTTCTCCTGACGCCGCGGTTTCCTTGGCCCTCAGCCTTAAGATTGTACCCAGTTAAAACCAGGTTCCAGAGCCCAAGCGTGACAGACTCTCATCGTGTTCCTCATAGAGGGAAAATCAAGTCACTTAGCAAAGTTTCTTTGTGGGATCTGTGACACTGTGCAGGCAGAGGCTCTTTGTAACTTTAGAAGGTGAATGAGGCCACCGGAATGGCCAGACCTCCTTCCCTGCCCTCACAGAGATTACCCGTCTCATCTCCTAGTGCTAATAGAAATTCTCCAAAAACATCAAGAAAATGCAACGACATTTTCAAGTGCCCTTGAAGGAGCCAGCACAGCCTGGCTATATACAACCCTGCATGTTAAAATACATTTTACATATAAGGCATTATGCATCCAAAATATATGCCACATTTATCTTTAGTATAACTTGCTTAAAAATGTTTAAAATCTAGATTCCAATCGAAGGTGCCTTAACAGAGCAGCATTTGAATGGCGAGAATAAGGAAACGTGTGGGGGAAATCAGGTCCTTCTGTGGGCTCTTTTGAATATTTTCATGAATCTTAGTTCATTAATTTTGCATTCAGTGATCAGGAACTGAGAATCTGCCTCATAAGCATGTGTTAGGCTCTTAAAGACGAGAAAATGTATTTGGGCCTGTGTTGGGGAAAAGTTCTCCCATCAGCTACAGTATTGGAAATTTTCATCCACCCCACTCTAGTCCATAGGGAATAGAAATACTACTTGAAGGGATTACACACCCTCCTTAAGAGCTAGATTCTAATATTGCAACATGGGTTGATTGATTACTTTTTAAGGAAGCTTATGTCACATTCTAATCTGCGTTTGGATTGTGCTGGGGTTGTAATGTAGTGTGTGTGTGTTTTTTTTTTTTTTTTTTTTTTTTTTTCCCGGGAGCACTTTATCATGGTAAGTGTGGTGGGGAGCTGCAGCCCTGTGATAAGCACACATTTCCTTATGCTGCCATCCTTTTGGACAATAAAAGGCTGTTTACATTCTCGGCATTCTTAGAGCTGTTTCCAGCCTTGTAATACAAGGGGGATAGGCTGTGAAAGGAAAACAGAATGGCTGAGTGGGTAGATCTAAATTGAAACACTCTGGATTCCCACCACCCACCCCACCCCTGCAGGTATCACAAAGGACAGATCCTCATTTGTTCCTTTGGAGGACTTCTACTGTTGTTCTACCTTTCTCAGCTGATATTGAACTTCTTGGACACATTTTAACAGCAAGTGGATGACATATTTTCTAGATTTGAAAACTGAGCTTTTAATTTTTTTGGAATCATACCTACACAAGAGACAATGCCTTCTGCTGATGTAGAGGGAAAAAAATCTGTAAAAATATTTGTTGGGGGCAGAGAGGGGCTGATTTGCATTATTGTTGGAATTGGATTTTACTTTTTCAGCTGCTCTGCCAGCCTGAACAATATACTTTTTTAAAATGCTAAATGCTTTCATTGAATAGTGGATTCCATTGAGCATATTGAAAATATAATTATGTGAAAATGGCCTGTTTTGTCCACAGTCTTGAGAGTTGGGTCCAAACAAGGCACTAACCGTATACTAATGTTTACAATAACTGAAACTTTTTATCCTTATTTTTATGCTATTTAAAACTTTGAAGGAAACAAGTTGAGTTGGTATATATTGCAGGTAGTTTATAAGGAATGTGTGTATATGGTACCTGTCGTTGGCCAGTTTTCCTGGCCTGTGTCCAGTGTTTCTAACAGATTGCTATACCTATTTTAAATGATTACTTGATATTTACAAAATTTGCATACCCATCTAAAATGTATTCTTTTCTTTGAAGTCTTTACTAAGCAACATATTCTTCATAAGACTATTTAGGGCACATTATTTTTCTTTTCCTATTATCTAACAAAGAAAAAATATCATTTGAAGTTAATATTAAAAAAAAGTGAGTTTTGCTTCACGATACAAGCTAAAAACTTCACCAGATGTCAACTTCTTTCAGATTATTGGGTAACTCACTGTAAGTGTGATTTTTGCTCTTAAATAAAATGGAGATTATAAAAAGGTTAAATTTGAATTTAAATGATTAGCTCAATTTAATAGAATTTAGCATTGGTTTAAAAACTAAATTTGTTGTACATTTCAACTTTTTTTGTGATAAAATACTAAGTTAAATAAAATAGAAGTTTAAAGTGATAGAAATTATCACATTTTTAGAATTCTATAAAATGAGAATAGCTATGATGCAAGATAGTACATTTTCAAATTCATTCTTGTTACATGATATCTCATATATATTAAGGATATTTATGTTTATCTTAATAAATTAATAATCTCAGTATCTGCTTAATATGATATTCATGTTTATTCCCTGTTCTGTATTTATTAGAATGACTCTTCCATTCAAAAATCACAATTTCCCTCATACAGCCTTGATCAATAAACATCAAAACAATCATTTCCCATTGTAAGATCAATATCATCTGTTGGTCATACGACAACACAGAAGAGAGAGAATCATCACCATGTCATGGTCATGGCCAGGCTTTAAAATTAACTCCTCATTGTAAGCATCATTTTCTTAGATGTTTTAAAAGTGAGAATTAGGATTAGACAATAAAGTCCTTGGTTCCAGCCGCCTACCTCCCATTGGCCGCCACTAGCCTATTCTTAGTTTATGTCATCTGGTCTTGCTTTAAATGCCATCGATATAGGGAATGGACTCCTTATGGCAAATTATTTTATTGCCTAATAGATTTCTGAGTGGAAACAAAAAAACTTCCTTAATCTTTGTTCTATATTTTTCTTAACTTCCTTTTTTTGTTGTTTTTGATGAACAGAATTTTGAATAAAGAGAAAGCATTTTTGGAAAACCTTTCACAGGTTTACATTGTTAGCTTAAAATGTATAGTTCTTGGAAATCGAATGAATTAAGAAGTGTTGATTTTTATTATTTACAATCTGATGTTAAGATGTGTATTTGTTTAATGCATTGCTCACCTTTTATCTGTTCAAAAGATAATCAATACATCTTCAATGATTTCATCATTTAGCAGTAGCAATCAAAGAGGAATATAAACGTGTCACAGGTTTGTGATTTTGTAAAAGCTGCAGGGCTGTCTCTTAGTGTTTACATATTCTCTGTACTCCTTTACCTGAAGCTGTGCTGGGTGAGATTTGAGAGAAGAATTATAGCCACACACTCAAGTGCCTTCAGTTAAGGCTGTGTCAGCATTTCTGTAAAGAATCTCATTTCTGTCTTAGCCATAAGCATTATTGTGGGTTTGAAGTTGGCATTTAATATCTTGATTTGGGAGTCAGTTATTTTGAAACTGCCTTAAAGAATTGGTTCAAGTGATTTTGTGTGCTCACCCGTGTGAGGTTCCTCTCTATGCATTTCTTCAGTATTCAAGATGGTGACTTAACACACTGATTTGTATAGTATTGTCTTGGTGGCTCAATTAACAGGCAAAATCCTTTAGTTTTTACTTGCATGAAGGATATAACTAAAGTTGTTACATGTTTGAATTATTTTGATTATCTTTTCCTAATTAAATATTTTACTGCCGTAAGATTTTGTAACATGATTAAATTATTGATTATTTCAATTTCAGGCTCCCTAGTCATTGTTTTTATGAGTCTTTATTTACTAACAGTCTATTTAAGTTTTTTATTATTTGTGACATGACCAATGGTGTAGTTGACAGCTCCATTCATTATTTTAAAATCCTTTTCAGAATCAAAGGTATCTAACAGTTTACAGTATAGATTTTCACGTTATAGAAAAATTATGATGATTGAAAATTTTTATTTCATGTTCATTTTAATTTGTGAAAATCTAGATTAAAAATTCTCAGACACTTGTTTGGTTCATTATGCTATAAGGTTGGTATTCAATAAGCAACTGTCTCTTTATAGAACCTCTTAAAAATGAAAGTTTTATTACATAAACCCAAGTGCTACAGGAAATGTTTTTCTTTTAGCTAGTCAAATCATCTAAGAAATTCACATAGTTGTCTTGCAATTTACCATTCTTGTCAATTTTTCTTT